CTTTATTAATTTATGTATCCAAAGATGAATTTGCATTTATGAATGACAATTGGGTGGGGCAGGCCAAATTAATAGTAGTTCCCTGTCACCCATTTCTTTTAATGCATTATAAGTTTTTTTATATTCGCAAGTATCTATGAATTTCAATAAATATTTATTAAAATATAAAGATTTAAATAAAAAGATGAGAAATAAAATTAAATTAAAAAAATAATTTTAAAATACATACTTACATTAAAAAATATTTTGATAACATATATTTGTATTAAAAATAAATAATTTATGATATATACTTATTATAAAAATAAATCAAATTATTTTATATAATTAAAAATATTTTTAAAGTAAGAATACTCATGAATACGTATATTTCACTACTTGTTTCTGTCTCATTATTAAGTAAGTATCTATATAATTATTCATTTATAATTCATAACAAATTTTATATGTAGATGTTCATGTATATAGGTGTTTTTAGTTTTATCATCCCTAGTCTCAACAAGACATTTATATACTTTTTTCTCAATATAATATACAAAAGTTGCTCCATAATTGAAAATGCAGTTAAAAAACAAGTTATATTATATATGAATATTACTCGCACTAATTTAAATACTTGATTATTACAAATAATTTAAAATTTTTGGATTTTTCACCGATGTATAGAAGGAAAAAAAATCATCATTTTTTTTATAGCTGATACATATATATTAATATAAGTAATAAAAATATCCAAACACATTCAAAATTAAACCCTCACACTTAGAAAACAAAAATTATAAGTGCAAGAACAATTTTATTATTTAAACAGGAAACATTGCATTCATTTCCTTTTATTTTTATGTTTTTGCATGTATATCTTTAAAACATGTTTTGAAATTGAAAAAGAAACAACGTTAATTTTCATTTTCTATACAGGAATGCACCCGTGTGTTGGTGGGCTCGTTGACCTTACGTGATCGAACATGTCGGTGAATCCAACGCAATGCAACTTGCACATCGTAATTCGAATTAATGAGATTCAACTTCTTCCTCCAATTGTATTTGCACACGCGTCCCAAAGACTTTAAACATAGTCCACTCTCGTCTATAAATATCTCTGTTGACATATAGCTAGGGTAGGGAAAAAAATGGCATCTAGAACTCGCATAAGCATGTGCTTCTTTTTCTTCTTCTTTTTTATAACTTCATTGCTCTTTATACTATGTTCTGCCACAGCTCGGAGCCCTATTTTCTTCTCAAGTGAGTTTCCTGTTCATTTCATATATATTATTTTCTATATCTCCCTAACCCTTTGATGGATAACTTTAAAAGGAATTAATACTTTGTTTGATATATTGTTCAAGATGAGTAAAATCATGATATTAGTTCCATCTTAATATCGCAATTATAACATCTTGGTTAATTTTAATGTTGACTATGAGAAATGGTAAATAGCAGTGTGATTATATTTCATATCTATTAAACATTGTTTTACTTGGATTGTATAGATCATGAAGCTCCGAGTATGGTGGGAAGGTCATTGAAAGCAATAAACCTTGAAGACTATAGTGAAACAACTGCAAATCAAGAGCACGATCCATGGAATGGGGCTAGATGGGGAGGAAATGCATGAAGAAATGGCTGAGAGATTACTGGCAATACGTTAATTAGATCACATTATTTCAGTTAATGCATCCTTTTTGTTTGATGTATGAGGTCAATGGGATGTTTAACATTTATATTAAGTTCTCAAGAAAAGAAACATTTACATTAATTATGAAAAAAGAAACTTTATATTAATTGGTTTTTTTTATAGCAAGTTATTGGTGTGAAGTATATCAAATGACTTAACTAATTTTCGAAAACTTCTAACTTTTTTAACTATGTATTTTTCATCACAAGATTTAAATTTGAAACAACGATATCTTAATTAAAGGAATTGAGACCATTATACTAATTATAAACAATGTATTTTGATTTTAGAGGAAGAGTAAAAAACTGTGGATGAATAAAAAGAAAAGGAATGGTTTAAACATCTTGATCGTTCAAAAATTAATAAAATATTTTCACGTGCCCTGTTATAAAAGAAATACATGGACAGTCATGACAATAAAATAATAAGAGATTAATTATATAATGAAGAATAATAAATTTAATTACTACTATCCATAAGCGTTTTGTCTGCATGTCACGTGTATGAACCCTAGGCAACATTAATTATATTAACTTTTTAATGTTTGACTAGTTTTTTTCACTTAAAAATAAGTTTTAAGTTGAAGTTAAAAATAAAGACTTAAAAAAGTAAAATTGTTTTTATTAAATTTCATTTTCTGGTTTAAAAGTTTCTATAAGTTACAAGTTATTTAACTTTTTTTTTTTTATAAAAAAAACCCTCTAATTTATATAACATTAGTTATCATGTCTAATAAAAAGGTATATTTATATAAAAACATATTAGGTAAAACTATTTCAATAATAATAAAACAAAGAAAAATACTGAAAAAACAGAATATTAAAAGTTTAATTTTTAAAATTTCAAAAAATAATTAATTAATAAATTTTTATTTTAATGATGATTTGCAAATCTATATTTATATACTTATACTAATAATAAAGATGATATCTTCTTTTGATATAGAAAATTTTAGACAATTTTGTACTTATAATATTTATATTATATTTCATTTTATCTTTTTTAACTACTCAAAAATCGTTCAAAACTTCTTATTATTAATCATCAACTATTATTTAATCTTAATTATTTTTTTTTCATTTTTAAGTGATTTCTATTTTTAAAATACAAAGAGGTATGAAGTGTCTTTTTTACATTAGTATGTATAATGTCATAATCTTCTCCTATGACTTTCATAAGATATAGAGTTTCTAGATATGCGTCTATTATTACCGTCTAAAGTTTATAATTTTCTCTATCAAAGATAAGTGAAAAAAATTGTGAAAAATTTGTTTCGACTTCCATTTTCATAGGTTGTAAGAACCTTGACTCTAAATATCAATGTTGAGTTATTTTTTATTTGTATTTTCTAAAGATATATTTTTGTCAAAGGAATATGATCTAGTTTTATTCATGAACTCTCTCTATATAAAAGAATTTGTTGGAAAAAATATATTACGTGACTTATTATATAATTCATGTTTGATTTAATTATCCTATTAATTTAATTAATTATTTGATAATGAGGTACTGTTATATAATAATAATAATAATAAGAGTTATTAAGAGTTATAATAAGTATATTTCATTAATTTTTAATGAGAAACTAATAGAAGACTATTATGATAATAAGGTAGCACTACAACAAAATTTAGTATTACCGACAATTATTTAATGACAATAAATTAATTTCCTCTATTTTATTATTTAATAAAAATATTAATGACTATTATAATAGTCACTAAAAATGTATTTACATCACATCAAAATTTACTATTAGCAACAATTATTTGTTAGAAAAAACTTAAGTCCCACATCAACTAGAAATAAAATAATTAAAGAGTATATAAGTAAATGATAACTCTCACCTTACAAGTATGTTTTATAAGGTTGAGTTAGGCCTATAACTTACTATTCTAAGTTGGTATTTAGGAGATAAGATAATTAAAAAAATTAAAGAATATATACTTAGAACATAACCTTCATCTTCTAACTCCCACATCAATTAGAAATAAGGTAATTAAAAAGTATTTGTACTTATCTTACAAGTCCTACATCGACTAGAAATAAGATAATTAAAGAGTATTATAATCTTTTCTTAAACTTTTAGCAGCAATTTTAAATGTAGTAACAAATGACACAAAAAGTTATACAATTTTCCCGACCATTGTGAGGGTCTTTACCAGCATATAGAATAATTGCCGGTAAATATTTTAGCGTCACTATAAACAATGGCTAATATGTGAAATGCTGGTAGAAGATTTTGTAACAATTTTTATTGTCATTAAAAATCATATTAAATGCCACTAAAAGTCCATTTTATTGTAGTGTAGAGAGGGTTCTTAGTTTTATTTATAAAAGGATTTGTGGTACGTATTTTTTTTTATCAAACATGCTTTAAGAAAAGCAAACACTAGAAAAACTCTTTCTATTTATCTAAATATCTAAATATTACTACATGTTTAATAGTTTAATAATAATAACTACAAAAGATATATTTTTACTATTATAAGTTATAAATTAATATTTTGTTTTTATTATAGAATTGTAATATAAGAATTAAATATTGATATTATCCTATTCAAAAATAAATAAATAAATTATAAATAATATAAAAAAATTAAATTTAAATATTTAAAACATAAATAAAAAATTCTTATTAAAGCTAATATATTTTCCTAAAAATATTTAAACATATTCCCCCATGATCTCCATGATAAAATTATAAGGGTGACTTGCATGGGGGAAATCAGTATGCAAAAGCAAGGAAATTCTTGTATTGGAAAGTCACACGTCTCCTTCCTCAGTTTTTGGGTGCAGGTGCAGCTTATATAATATATATATCTATTCTAGAATCTAACAATACTTCCATCACTGAATATTACACAAAATGACAAAACTCAAAAGGTTTGCGGCAAGAACTTAGCACTTTAAAGGCTTTTGAGACTTCAGGTATTACTTGTGCTGTTGTTAATTCTGATTATGCAAACTACTGGAGCTACAGACCACATATGCCCCTTTTACAATGCCATAGAATAGTTAGCAAAAGATTATTCTTTCAAACTTTCTTGTTGGATAATGAGGGGAAAAAATCCAAGCGAATACCATCTATTAATTATGTGATATTCATTTGAAAAAAACAGATAAACAACTCCTCTTGTGTGTATGGAAAATTCTTATTATCCTTCACGAAAAATCACATGACATTTGTCAATAACATGAGGTGCCAATGCTTGCAACTAAATCCAAACATCAGCACACAAACCTGGCCCACCCTTACACCAAGTTAATAACCGAAAACAAAACCCACATGTATGGAACTTTCTTACACTTATTTCACTTTATCTAAATTTTGTGATGCATATCTAATGCTTACACATTCTTACACACACAAAATCCACTAAAACCCATTTGAGGTTGAGACCAAACTAACTAGAAGGAGCATCATCATGTCTTGGTTAAGAAACCTCTCCAAGTTTTCCACCATTAAAGCATCATCTCAACGTCCCAAAAACACTGACCCATTTTGTCTTTTGCCCTCCTTCACTTTCCTCTCCCACTTCAGCTCCAACCCCGTTGAGGAGAAGCCTTGTGCAAAGCCCGTTGAGTATTCAGGTTTGGAACCAACAAGGGCCCATGAGAAGCCCCGTGTGGTGGTGCTGGGCTCAGGATGGGCTGGGTGCAGACTCATGAAGGGCTTGGACCCTCATCTGTATGACATTGTTTGTGTCTCACCTCGCAACCACATGGTCTTCACACCCCTGTTGGCCTCTACATGTGTTGGAACTCTTGAGTTTAGATCCGTTGCTGAACCCATTGGAAGGATCCAACCAGCTATTTCTAGAGAGCCCGGGTCTTATTTCTTCCTCGCAAATTGTACTCATATTGATGCACATAACCATATGGTGTGTTAGCTAGTTTTGTTTCCTTACAAGTATTTTCTAGCACTATGGTATTATCCAATTTCTAAGTTTGCACGTGAAGGGCATGCTTACAATAAATTATTACATGATTAGGGATAATTACCAGGATAATCTCCATGTAACAAGTTATTAATTGAAAAATGTGGTTACATGTTACATGGAAATTGGCTTTGGACCATATGATTTCGAACCATGCAACAATATTTGGTATGCTTACAATTGGAGGGCATACTCTTCAATTGGAAATGTTAACATTATTTAATTACAACTACTATTGGATTCATGTTGCTTAAAAAATAAAAAAATAAAAAGACTTTAGGGTGATGAATGATTTTCTTTAGTTTTTTTTTTTTTTTCTGAGATTAAAGGTTACGTAATTTGATGACTTTAAATGGAAATGTTTGACCAATGTTTCTTTTTGTTCATGCCAACGTGTGTTACAACTTCCTCCACCCAACTATAGGAACTTCGTGATTTTTGTTACATAGAAATTTACTATAAAATAAAACTTTAGGATGCATGGATTTTGGAATGTGTGGACAACCTTAAGTGATGAAAATTTGCCACTTACTAGATTGAAAGTTTTTTGTTGGTATGCTACTGTTATAGGTTTTACTAGGAGTATTGGTAGCATATCAGTGTGGCTTAGTTACAGAGAATCTTGGTTTTGAAGGTTCACTGTGAGACTGTGACTGAAGGAGTAGAGACAATAGCTCCCTGGAAATTCACAATCTCATATGATAAACTAGTAATTGCATTAGGATCACAACCTTCCACTTTTGGAATTCGAGGAGTCAAAGAACATGCCATCTTTCTTCGTGAAGTTCACCATGCACAGGAAATTCGTAGGAAGCTGCTCCTAAACTTGATGCTGTCTGATGTTCCAGGTTTGCCAAACTATAGTTTTACATGTTAGGCAAATATTTAGCCATCACACTATCACAGTTATTTTTATTAGGCCAAAGTACATTTTTGGTCCTTTATCTTCTAGTTTCAGTTTGTTCTCTTGTATTTAAAAAGATTTACTTTGATCTCTTAAATTAATCTTGATGGACGTGACAAACTCCCATCTGACATGGCATCTCTCACAGTTTGCCAAGTGTTACCGAGTTAATGTGGTAAACTGATGAAAAACCAACTTGTTATTATAGAAATACTTTTAGGAATTTAAGTGCAACTTCTAAAACTGAAACCAAGAATATAAGACGAGGGACCCAAGTATATTTTAGCCTTTTTATTATTTTATACTTTTGGTTGTACATCACTTTTATTTGTGCTTTACTTGTATTCAGGGATTTCAGAAGAGGAAAAACATAGGCTTTTGCACTGTGTGGTTGTGGGGGGTGGTCCAACTGGAGTTGAATTCAGTGGTGAGCTTAGTGATTTTATCATGAAAGATGTTCGTCAAAGATATGCCCATGTGAAGGATTACATCCGTGTCACTTTAATTGAGGTATGCTAAGTACCATCAGGCATCAGATATGTGATATGTGAACTTATGTAAGCCAAAAATTGTCTTATAAGAGGTAGTTTATGTTATTAACCAAATTATTCGTGCCTTGTTAGGCAAATGAGATATTGTCTTCCTTTGATGACCGGCTTAGGCGCTATGCTACCAAGCAATTGACAAAGGTGAGTTACACATTGATGCAAATTGCAAAGGCATTTCAGCATTAATTTGGAATATTTCATCATTGTAGTACTGTGTGAAACTGGTTGAAAAGCTAGCTAGTTGTTAAAACTTTTCTGTATTAGTTTCATTATATTTTGCCAATGTTGTAGTTTCTCTCAGTCAGGAGTTCGTCTTGTTCGTGGCATTGTGAAAGATGTTAAACCTCAGAATATTGTCCTTAGTGATGGTTCTGAGGTTCCATATGGGTTGTTGGTGTGGTCCACTGGTGTTGGTCCATTGCCTATAATTCAATCTTTGGATCTCCCAAAAGCTCCTGGTGGAAGGTTAGTCTTGTTACTCAACATTATTACATTAAGAAACACTGAAACTCTGGCACGACTAATGTTTAAAATAAAAAGACAGCGAGACATTGCATAGACACACAAAGAGAGGGACACTAATGAAATGAAATATGAATAAAATAATAAGGTATCTAAATTGATGGTATATTCACCTTTTTAAACCAACCTTCTATATTTTTTCTACCAGAATAGGCCTAAAAAAAGTAAGACATTTTTTTTTTAATATTTTCTATTTTAAAAAAGACTTTTTTTTTATAATTAGAATACTGTGTCCATTCAAAAGGAAGTGTCAACTCAAGTGTCTGTAGAAGTGTCCAAGCTAATAAAAAATATATTTTTTAATTAGAGACCTAATTAGAAGTGTCTGCAAGGGTCGGTGTTCAAAAATGTGTCTGACACTGCGACATTTCAAACAAGGGAGGTTTCATGCTTCATAGTTATCACATTCACTTCCCCGTGACAACCTTGTTAAAGTTACAAAATTAGCATATCATTTGTGGTTGGAATTAGAATTTATATGTCATATAAGGAAAGTTGGATCAGGTATCTATAGAGATTAGTGACCACTGACCAAACTTTTCTATATCAATTATCCCAAAGCAAATTCTGAATGTTTATGTTTCATAGGATTGGTGTTGATGAGTGGCTTCGTGTTCCTTCCGTACAAGATGTGTTCTCAATAGGTGACTGCAGTGGATTTGTTGAAAGTACTGGAAGACCAACACTTCCTGCACTAGCTCAAGTAAGTGATATATTCATTAGTTTCTCCTGCACACTCCTTCATTGAGTTCATTCCTTAAATTCTTGCCATTTGTAGTTTTGGTTTTAGGCTAAGGTAAGATTTGAATATGATACATTTTATAGTTACTGTTTCTTTTATCTTATTTGTTATGGTTCATCAATATGAAGTAATGTTACTGATTTCTTCTTTGCAAGAAAGCTTGTTGGTCATTTGACACATTGCCATTTGAATTCCACAGGTGGCAGAGAGGCAAGGTAAATACTTAGCAGCTCTATTAAACAAAATTGGTAAAGCAGGTGCAGGCCATGCAAATAAGGCAAAAGAAATAGAATTTGGGGATCCATTTGTTTACAAGCACCTTGGAAGCATGGCAACAATTGGAAGATACAAGGCCCTTGTTGACCTTAGGCAGGGCAAGGTAATATTTATCACTCCTGAGATATTGTTGGTGCTTCAAAAACTTGGTGTGACTCACTTACCAAGCTCTTGCAGGAGGCAAAAGGGTTGGCTCTTGCAGGATTTCTGAGTTTTTTTATTTGGCGCTCGGCATATATCACACGTGTTATCAGCTGGAGGAACAGATTTTATGTTTTTGTCAACTGGATTACAACTGTTGTATTTGGCCGCGATATAAGCAGATTATGAAGATCTTGAGGTAATCACTTCCCGCATGCCTAATGATTTGTTTGGATAAATTTCTCCAAAGACACTTTTCATAGAAGAATAGGATGGAAAAATGAAATAAGTTTTCTTTTAAGCTAATTTGTAAAAATTATTTCGTGTTAGCTTCTTTAAAAACTTATTTTTAACTTATGATAAGTTAGTTTTAGATTATATAAAAATTTCTTTCATTTTTTCTTTTAATTTTTCTCTCCTAAAAGTATCTAAAGAAATTTATCCAATCATACTTTAAGTGTTGTTTCCTAAGGTTTTATGTAATTTTGTTCGGGTTTGGACTTGTTGGTAGGATCTTAATATGATAACACTTTTGCTTGGTTGCATTGAGGGTTCTTCCTAGAAGCCAGGAACTATCATGAGATGAATTTCAGTTTACTGGACAATGGACTTGGACAGCATGGAACTGCACTAGTTCATGACATTTTCCGTTTATTCCATTTGTTAAAAACAGTGGCAAATAAAAGAGGATGTTGAGAAATGGGCTTGAAGGACAAGACAATGAAACTTGTTGCATCTTGAAGCCGATGCAATATTTTGTCCACACTTTTTTCTTTCCTGTAGCTTGTTATTAATCAAAAATCTAGAAATCCTAAGTGTTTCTATACCTATTGAAAACCAAGAAATCAATTTTCATTTGCAAATACTGTTCATAAAATTTGTGGTTGCAATAATACCAGTTCAGTTACCTAAATTTGCCTGATCTCTTTTCTGTCAGAAGATTATTGAAATGGGAAAAGAATTGTTATAGGTCATTCTTGTTATTGGAACTAGTTCCTCCAATTGCAAGTGCCTTATAGAGTTCTTAGTTGAAGTATTGAAATAACACTTGAATTTTAGACTAGATAACATCATTTAGGTGTTTACCAGAAGTGGAAGGAGACATACTTTTTCAACTTGAAAAGAATCGAACACAGACTAAATTTTTCATACTAAAAAAATAACTTAGTTCCTTTATTAGTGCCATAGGTCTTAGCATTTGCATTGAAAATATAATAAAGGATTCATTACACTTTTTATCTCCAAAATTACAAAATCTCACGAATTGCCCCTAAAAAGTTTTTCACGATTTTTGTCCCCCAATTTAATTTTTTTTTTTTTGCAAATTGTCTAAATTGTAGAAGTTTAAAGGAAAAATTGCCACAAAATCGTGGCGATTTAAATATCTCAAGGCAAAATTTGCTATATTTTGTAAATTAGGGTCAAAATTCGTGAAAATAAAAATCTTTGAAGCTTGTGAGATTGTGTAACTTTGTAAGAAAAAAAAAATGCAATTAAACCTATATTAAATGAAATTTGAAACCAAACCTTGAGGCGTAAGAAATTAACACCAACATCATTCACATTGGATAACAAATCTATAGTTGTTGGAACATTTACCAAACATGATTTATATAGAATACAAGTAATCATGCTATATCATCTCATCACTCTGCACATTATTGCTCTTCACAAATCAAAATATCTTGAAGAAGGATGACTTTGAAGTTTTCTGACTTCCTAGCCAGTGTTGCATATGGACCCCAATGGCATCCAAGTACATGCTACTCCTCCCATGTAAACCTACCACCTTGCCCTCTGTTGTGGTTGAAGTGAAATATTTCCCTACTTCATCACCAAATGGACCATACTGTCCTCGACTAGTATAGAATGTCAGCGACTTTATGATTACAGGTTGCTCATCAGCAGTGATTGGACCATAATAGCCAGATATGCAAGTCAGTACCTCATGTGGATACTCCAATTTTATCTAAAATCACAATAGGCACAAGTAAGACTAAGAATGCTTAGTCTAGTCCTTTTTTGTTAGCAATCATGCATAATCCAAGAAAATAAATGACTAGTATGAAACAAATGGAATGTGCTTAAAACAAGACTTTAAAATCTAAGTATCTTTATATTGTAAATCAATAAAAGATAATAACCGATATGACTTTTAAGATGATTATTGTAAAAGTCAACAGGCACTACAATTTGTGATTAGAAGATAGTGTAAAAACTTTTTACATTATTATATGTGCATATACTAATTACTGTAAAAGAAAGTGGGAAAAATGAGAATGAATTCAGATTCATACCCGATGCATGGTATTTCCTCCATGAGTACCATGCTTTACAGACCATACAGATTGCTTATTTCTATCATACTCAATTTGAATTGAGCAAATTCCTTCAGGTGCTTTTGTCAAGTAAATCTGCTTAATCCCAGAAAAGACTCCATCATCCCATGGCTTACCTCCATCCCCACCCCATGGACCTGGTCCACATGGAGCTGGTTCTTTAATCACACCACGAGAAACCTGTAATGTGAAATAAGGAGCATAAGTGAATAGAATATCCTCTTCACTTCAATATACATGCTAAAAGGTGATGTATCAAGAAGTAAAATATTAAAAAGTAATGATACACATACAACAATTCACACAACATCATTTATTGTGTTTACCTCTTTCTATTTTATCATTAACGAACATAATGATAAAGAGACAGACATAAGAAATAATGTTGTACAATTTTGTTGTATAAGTATCATTTCTGAATATAAAATGATTTAAGGAATACCGGTTCAATTGGTACTGATTTGGCAACTACAGCTTTGGCTGGCCATTGAGGATTGTCTGTATCAGAAATACTTGGTCCTCTTGGGATGATTTCCATGGAAGGAGGTGTTGCCACTGGCACTATTAATTTTCCTTCCACCACATGTACACCAAGAGAATCTAGAAACAAGCCATTTCTACCATGAATTCCAACGATCTTCCCTTCTTTCAGCTTTGTTGTGAAATAAGTTCCACTTTCTTCTCCAAATGGTCCGTAGGACCTTTTGGTGGTGTGGAAAGTTAGTGCCCTTATAACAGCAGGTCCCATGTACATCAGAGATCCATAGTAGCCAGATATATGTGTTAAGACTTCATATGGAAAATCAAATACTATCTGCAACATGGTGCACACAAAATGGTAACATATCAATCTTATTGCCTAGTTTATTAGGTAAAAGTGCACAACAAAGGCTTGTTAACTCTTAGTTTACCTTTTCATGTTTGAATCCTCCTGCACCTCCATGTTTGTATCCCCATACAGCCTCCCCATCTAGATCATACAAAACTCTAATCCATACAATTCCAACATTGCGAGACAAGTCAATTTGCCTAACTCCTGTGTAGGGTCCATCATCAAATACATATCCACCAGTGCCACCCCAAGGCCCGTATGTCACTACACCTTCAACCATTGATGGTTCCCTCTCCACGTAAATTATCTGAAGTGAATATATTCTCAGTTTCATTTGATGCAAATTCTGGCCATGTTTGGATTATGGAAAATGTATAAAATAGAGTGGAATGGAATGATACTATGTTTCATTCTTTGGATTGTTTAAAATAGAATGAAAATATGAAATGAAGTAAAACCTGATGGAATGCATTTCATCCCATTCCATCAAATACTTTTCTAGTCTCACCCGCCAAATGTGGATGGTTTCATGGAATAATTCTGTTTTTCTCTGTCCATCATAAAAATGAAAGAAAAAAAAAACTTGATACAGTTACTTATGTACTTTTGGTGGTATTTTCTAATTAAAAGTTAAATATATTTTTAGTCTCTCAAATTTAAGATAAATTTGTTTTTGTTCCTCAAATTTAAAATTATTTTTATTGTTTAATTTCCAAAAAAAAAATTGTTCTAGTCTTTATACTCAAATTTTATTAGAAAATTTATTAAATATTGTCATATAAAATTTACCTATTGGTGTTCATCACATTAATCTAAGCTAATATTGCATTAAAATAATTATTTTAAATTTGAAGACTAAAAATAAATTTATCCTAAATTTATAAATTTAAGGAATTAAAAACAAATTTATCCAAAAATTGGAGAGACAAAAACAATTTTTTCTTAATGCACTAATGATAGTTTGCAATAAAGGTTAACATACATTAATGAGATCATATTTCAATTTTCATTAGAAAATATCACTAAAAAATATCTAAAGAACTGCATTTAAGTTCTATTCATAATGAAATGGCAATATAGCAACTTTGTTCCAACCCACTTGACTCTATTACATTCTACCTCATTCCATTCCTTTTGCTCACCATTAGATATCCTCCTAACATAGCTGAAGTTGAGAAGAAAAGTAACACTTAAAAGAGAGAATATTCATGAATGGTCACTTTATCTTTCTAACCTTTTCTTTTGGTTCAATGTTCTTTGGTTCTTTGAAGCTAGAAATCTTCGCAGTTGGAGAATTTCCAAAATCATCTTTCTGTTTTAAAGCAAGAACAATATCATAGCCTTGGCCAACACTTCCTTGTATTACAGAATAACTACCATTCTCAGGGGACTTAGTCATGTAGTTCTGTGAATAAGACAAAGCTTTGGAAGGGCTTAGTTGCAGAGAGGACTTCAGATAGACTCCAATGGCATCGACGCGCCAACCGTACCTGCCATGGAACCCAACAATCTTGCCACCAGTCATTGGCAACGAAAAATATGTCCCTTGTTCAACTCCAAAGGGTCCATAGATTTTCTTGTTACTCGCAAAGCTCAGCGACCGAATGAAGTTTGGTCCAAATTGACGTAACTTACCATAGTATCCATCAATTGATGTCAGGAACTCATCTGGGTAATCAAGCTTGATCTGCAGCACAATCATAAGTATAGAATCGATATGATGCACTAATTTTATAAATAGCAACCAAAGAAGCATAAAAACTTCATGATTGTCAACTCGATGTGTTGTAACCATGTTAGATGTGTATTTTGAAAGTAATATTAAGAATGATTTCTGATTAGTTGAAAAGGTAAAAAAAGTGCACGTACCTAAGGTACCTTAAACTAATAATGTTTAAAAATTCTTTCTTTTGATTTAAGATTGATGTCTTGTGTTAATTTGTACTTTGTATTATAACCATAGAATTTGTCGTATCCCATGTTCATGTTGTATCATATCTATGTCACTTTTCTAGGTATCAATTAGCCTACTTGTACTTTCAACAAGAACAAGAAGGGCATGGAAAATTTACCTTGTCAATTTTATAGCCTCCACTTCCACCATATTTCAGTGACCAAACAGAACTACCGTTTTTGTCATATTCAATTTGGATGGATTCAATTCCTTCCCCATGAGAAATCACCAATTGCCTAATTGTTGAATATATACCATCATCCCAACGGTATCCTCCACTGCCTCCCCATGGTCCAACACATACAGGCTTCTCCTCAAAACTCTGCACTCGAAACATCATTTAATTCAAAGGTGTTAGAAAAGTAAGGCAAAAAAAGTAGCTCAACACATACTTTTCAACAACAAAAGAATGAGTTGATTCATAACAAACGAAAACTGGCTTATGCATGGAGTACCATCTTCTTCTGCTTGTGGGGAAAGACAAATAGAATTTGGATGGAGAAACCAGAAGTGAAGTGAATGGAAAGGGTATGTGTTATGAGAAATTTATGGCAGCAAAAGGGTGTGTTAGAGGAATGCTTAAGAGAAGTTCATGGAAGTAAAAAGGTATATGTTTGTGCGTGATGTAGAAGAAGTTAACTGGAACCCACCATGGAGGGAAAGCGTTGAAAGGCAAGA